GGGTCGTGGTAACGCGAGAATGTCGTGATTCGATAACGGTTAGGCGGCTGGTATGCCAGCTTGCTGAAGCTTAAACGACACGACGGTAAAAATTCTTGAAACGGCGAGAATTGCGAAATATCGGACGCGTTACGAGGGGCTGCGGAAAATTCTAGAGTTGCGTCTCGAGATCACGGACGAAGGATGGAGGCAGCAGCCGTAGCTTGTTTCTTATATACGTATATATCTTTATTTCCGTATTATATATGCATTTTCGTGTGTTTTCACATGTGTGTGTGTGTGTGTTTATGTGTGAACGTATATGCGTGTATACGAATTGTGTTCACATATGTATGTGTATGTGTAACAGTGCTGGAGATGATCTGCGGATATAGTTATTGCGCTATTCGTTTATTTATTATATATATATGTATATATATATATATATTTTTTTTTTTTCATGAACCTTTTTTTCTTTTCTTATCTCGTTAACCTAGCGATCGTCAAGCTAGACTAGATTACTAAGCCTAGAGTTGTCGTTTTTTTTTTCTTTTAACTTTTCCTCGCCGCTACGTTCTTTCTATACGTACGCTGTTCCGTAGAAGAGTGTGTGTAGTTTTTTCTTTTTTTTTTTGCAGTTTGTGTATTTACATACGTGTACATGTATGTTTTTGTGCGTGCGTGCGTTTACGTGAATAGTATAGATGTCAGTGTACGCGTGTCGCTTTGTATTCCATTTTTTTTTTTCTTGGGGGCGCGATTACGCGCATGACTTAGGTACCATAAATGGATTTTTCCATTACACGTATCGACACACATTCTCTCTCTCTTTTTCTCAATCACTCTCTTCCTTTCACTCTCTTTCGCTCTCTCGTCATCTCGTCATTCTCTCGGTTTTTTTTTTTTTTTCTTTACCTAAATTTTTTTTTACACGTTCTCCTTTTTTTACCTCGATTCCACTCTCGCTTTGTGTTTTTTTCGTTACTTTCCAAAAAAACTCCGTGGTACTCGTCTCCACTATTATTTTAGATTACATTAATTATCTACTTATCACTTTATACTACATTTTTTGGTTTTCCCTTTGATGCTTGCGCCGTTTCTCCTTCTTCCCCCCTCTTTTCTTTTTTTTTTTTTTTTCCCCCCCCCCCCCTTTTTTTTTTTTTTTTTTTTTTCCTTCCCCCCCTCAATTTTTTTTTTTTTTTTTCTTTTCACTTGGCTAGCTTCGCTTCGCTTTTATTATTACCTAGACAACGTACTCGAGACTATCGGTAAGTTCTATACACGCCTTAATGCTTAAGACGCCATTCTTCAAATACTTTTTACAGGACGAGGATCCCCCCGTAATTCTTTAAAAGAGTAGGGGGAGGGGATCACTCTCTTTTCTTCCCCGTTGAAAGTGGAATCGAGTCGAGAAGTGAACTTTCTGGCAAGGGGAGTGATTATACGGCCGAAGGACGTAAGAGTAGAGTGTACCAGACGTATGATTTGATTTTCTTCTTCCCTCCCCTCCCTCCCCCTTTAATCGACTTTCTTTCAATACGACACCTCAAGCTACCCCCTCCCCCCCCCCCCCCCCCCTCCATTCCCCCCCCCCCCTCCCCCCCCCCCCCCCCTTTTTTTTTTCTCTCGCTCGTTCCACTTTTCAGAAAAATAACCCTATATTTTTTTTTTTTTCTCTCGTTTGTTTCGCCTAACTAATAATGTACACGATATTTTGTTTTTTTTTTTTTTTTTTTCACTTACGTTCTTACTCTTTTTTCTCCTCGTTTCACTTAAAAGCTATTATCCTTTTTTGCTTCTTCTTTTTTTTTTCTCTCTCTTAATCTCACACACGCACAGCGCTTTCATTCTCGCTTCACGACGAATTTCAAAATAACAGCTTTCGTCGCCGCTGCACGTATTGGTATTTTTTTTTATATATATATATAATATATATTTTTCTTGTATTTATATGTATGTATATATATATATATATATTTATTTATAATTCTTTCGTTTCTTCCTCGCGATCGGTACCGTGTCCTTTTTTTAGGCTGCGCATTTTATTTTATTTTTAGCTTGTGTCGAGAAATGGAACTCGTTGAAACTGTGTCTCGAATAGAGCCAATCATTTTAATTAACGTTCACGCACGATTTCTGGGCGAATTTTCGTGACGATCGACGAATTTTGCATTACTTCGTTGTATTCTTCTCGTGTAATTTTCTTTTTTTTTTTTTTTCTTCGCTTTCTTTTCTTACAAATGACTCTTACACGTCTCTCGTGTTTATATTTTTAATTATAAAACAATTGACGGACATAGAGCGAAATATGTTTTGATGTTGGTTTTTTTTTTTTTTTTTTTTTTAATTCTTGGGCCACAATTCTTATGTTTTTAAGTTCTTTTCTACGATAAAAAAAATTTCTTCTCCTCATTGTACAAACTTTTTGATTCAATTTGCAATACGTATTGATGCTCTCGTGTTAAAATATCGACACAACTGAACCAGAATTACGAATGAAAGTATATTGCACCGATTCGTCTTCGTGTCTTCGTATCGACGCTTATATTAAATATTTTAATTAACCGCTAGAAATATCAACAATATCGAGCGATAAAAGATTTATCGTTCGTAAAATAAAACGTTAGAATAAAAAATACACGGATCAACGAGCGAAACAATTATTTTTTTTTATTAACAGGTGTTTCAAACACGCAAAATCAACATTTCTTTCTCTCTAAATCGCGATTAAAAATTTCAACAAATATCTCAACCACGGCCAACTTTCCAACTTTTTTCTTCGTCGAGATAGCCTTTTCTTCTTTTTTTTTTTTTTCCTTTTCTTTCTTTCTTTCTTTTTTTTTTTTTTCTTTTTTTTCGTACTTCAGGGAAGACACTAAGAAGATTATCGAATTACGCGTACCTGTCAGATTTCTAATAAACTTACGTTTTATGTTTCAGGCATAGAAACGTTTGCTTCGTTTTCTTCTCGCCGAATAGAGCAATATTTAGTTTACGAGGAATTAATGGCACGAAATATTTGTGGTCCGCGAGATGGACTGAAGGCACACCTTTTATATCCATATCCACGTACTACGGGTAATCGAATCGTTTTTTCGGGAAATTATTATTTTTAAATTTACTGATAAATTCCTAAACGCTACGTTTGTCCCAAGCGGGTTTGATTTCGTCGATTCTCTCGTATTCTATGCACTCGCAAATATGTTCTCTTCAACGTCTGGCAACGTCTCGCAAACGTTCCCCCCCCCTGTATCGTTCTTTGATCATCGCGTTTTTTTCTCTTCTTCTTCTTTTTTTTCCCCCTCCCTTTTTTCCTTTTTCTTTCTTTCTTTCTTTCTTTCTTTTTTTGATTCGAAAACGCTTGTCGAAACGCTTTTGATTCGTTTAAAGCACGATCCGTCTATCTTTTGATTAATAACAAAGTCGCCCGCCTCTCTCTCCTCCCTCCCCACTCTCACGTTTTTTCTCCCTCCCTCTTGTTCTCTCGCCCGGTTTTCACCTCGCTCGTCCCCTTTATCGTTTGTCCTTCTTTCACACTCTCTATTTCCTACGTTTCTCTATCAGCTCTATTCGGTTCACTCGACTAAATCCTATGGGTTTCGTCGCAAACGGGGATACTCGTACTCGTGGATTTTGCACCACGCGATCACGCGCTCTCGTATGATGAGACAGTTTCATTATTGAAAAAAATACCGTACAAATACCGGGGAACAGAGAGAGAAAGAGAGAGAGAGAGAGAGAGAGAGGGCGGCTATCAAAGGACGATTTCGAGCGACGAAACAGAGGAAGTAGCGAAGAAGTGTACGAAGCATCGGATCGTGCTTAAAACCGAAAGAGACGAAGCATGGAGTAAGAATAGACGAGGAGGAGGGATGGTTACGAAGGTCTAAAGCACGGTGGATCATAGATAGGCAAATCAGATGGGATTACTTCGTACCTCGTTATACTTGTTAAACCGTCGTCGATCTTCGCGTTCTTTCATTTTTTTCTTAATCCTTAATCTGAACTCCCCCCTAACGATCTTTCCTCTCTCTCGTTTTTCCTTCTTTCCGTTTTTTTCCCTCCAACTATTAAACGGCAACGGTTTAAAGGGTTAAAGGAATTTTGTTTCTTTTTTTTTTTTCCTTTTTCTTTTTCTTTTTCTTTCTTTTTTTTTTCTTTTTCTTTTTCTTTTTCTTTTTCCCTCCCTTCCCCCCTGGATACGACGGAGTTACACAAAGAGAGACAACCTTTGATAGATTTGAATCGGAGGACAGGGATACGCATTCGCGAGGAAGGAACTCTCGACGGATCCTCTAATCTAACTTTCGTGCTGTTTTTTGTGCAATGTGTCTATCTATCTACGAATTGTTTTTAATTCTTTTTTTTTTTTTTTCTCGTTTGCTCTCGTCTCTCGCTTGTGCTTAATTAATTCTTCAATTATTCGCAGTTTTACTCTCCTCGTTTCGCTCACTCTCTTTTATTATCAACATTCTCTCGTTTGTACGCGTACCAGCGTATCCATGCACGCTTAACACGTGTACTCTCTTACTCACGTTTTCTTGTTTCGATTTCGTTATTATTATTATTATTATTATTATTATTATTATTATTATTATTTTTATTTTTATTTTTTTTTTCTTTAATTCATTTTGCTTCGATTCAGATCGGCCAAGTCGAAATTCGGGACGTCGGGACAGACCATTTTTTTATCTCGATTTCCACTTTTTTCTTTCTTTCTTTCTCTCTTTTTTCCTTTCTTTCTTCTTTTTTTTTTTTTTTTTTTTTTTTTTTTTTTTTTTGATTCCTTAAAAAACTCACGTCGCGTGTCCCTTCTCTCCAATCTATATATGTATATACCATTCGTTGTTACGAATTCGTGGCTTACGAAGCTGGAAAAGCTGAGAGCGAGTTTACAGTATAGAGAGAGAGACGCAGGGATAATACGATTTTGTTTCTTCTCATTTCCTAAGCTTAATGATTTATTGCTTAAGCGTCTTAAAGTCGAGATTTTCCCCTTTTTGGTTCTATTGGTATTATATAAAAATCTAAGGTATTAAGTTAAAAACCACGGTAGACCAGACACGATTGAAGTTGGAGTCGATCGATCGCTGGTTCGACGCTCATTCGATGGATCCTCGATCCTTCTCTCCTTCTTTTCTTCCCTTCCCCCCTCCCCCTCTTTTTCCCTTCTTCCTTTTTTTTTCTTTTTTTTTTTTTTTTTGAACTCGACGAACAGCATCGGTCGACACCCCTCGGCGCATACGGCTGATCTTTTTTTTTTTTTTTTTTCTCTCTTTATAAAAATATCCAACTGTCTAAAGAAGTGCCGCGTCAAAAGGATCAAAGTCGAATAATAAAAACGGCTCTTCGACACTAGCCTGCGAAGACTTCGCTTATGATTTGTCTTTTTGGCCTCGAGTCTGTGATAATAAATATAATAAACCGAAGATAAGAAGTCCTCGCAGTATGGCGGAAAAATGGATTTTAAGACACGTGGATCTTTCAGTTCCGTGGTTCGCGATAGTCGAGTATGGGTTGTACGAAGGTATGTATGTTTAATTAGTTCGCTCAGGAACAGCGGAATCGTCGAATTATTATTATTATTATTATTATTTTATTATTATTATTATTATTATTATTATTATTTTATTATTATTATTATTTTATTATTATTATTACTATTATTATTTTATATAATATATTTTTTTCTCTCAAGGTCTGTTTCCGCCTTGCCGCCGAATTTCGAATCGTCCTCGAGTAACTTTTTATTATAACATACCTACCTAACTAGCTAATTGTTTGAATTTCGTTTATATAATAACTTTTTTTTTTCCTGTTTGTTTTTTATATTTTACCTCACGTTATAATCTTCACGAGTGTGTGTGTATGTGTTTGTGTGTGTATGTGTACGTGTGTGTATGCTTTATTATTCGATCTCCTCCCTTTAATAATATTTTTTTATCATTTATACACCACGATTACTTATCGGTCGCCGCGATTCGCGATTCCGAGTAACGCGTTTCGCACACGCGTTCTCTTTCATATTCTCTTTCGTTTTCGATTTATTAATTTTCACTTTGTTAAGCCCAAACTACAAAAATAATGAATCCGGGTTACGGGTCAATAAATACTGGCGGCGTCCTGTCGCTTTTCAATCTCACTTCCTTTCTCTCATTCTCATTCTCTCTTTTTCTCTTACGCACTCATTCACACACGCGCGCATACATCTCTCTCTCTCTCTCTCTCTCTCTTCCTTCCATTCTCTTTCTTTCGCTCGCTCTCTCTCTCTTTCTCTGTCTTTCTCTCGAGATAAAGGAGTTTAGCGTCGATTAAATGGCGGAAAGTGCAAATCACTTTGGTTGTTCAACGTGCGTCGACTCGTTCGCCTCTTCTGTAATCATGTCCTTTGTGGACGATGGAAACACACAAAATATTGGCTGTTTACGCTACAAACTGTCTTTGATGATCACATGGTGGTCCGCGTATCCCGGAATTCGTGTTTCATTACTGAAGCTTTTGACACTACCGTGACGGCAACGTTATCTATTAATTCAAGCCGAGAGAGACACTACATTACCCTACAAACTGGACGAGAGGGATACCTCCGATTTCTTGACGGTTAACCTTTCTTTTTTTCTTCCCGTAAATATTGCCGGTTTATATTATATTGGACGTGGAAATTTGACGGGGAATCTCTGCAAATATTATTCTCTTCTCCTTATCTTTCTCATTTTTTCCTCTTTTTTTTTTTTTGCTTTCTTCTCATTTAAAAGTATATATATATATATGTATATATATATGTGTATATGTATGTATGTATATATATATATACATACATATATATATGTATGTATATATATATACTTTGAGAAATGTTTTTATTTATTTATTTTTTGTATGGATAAGAATTCATCCCCTTTACTCATTTACTTTGTTTTGTCTGGTTTAATAAAGCGATCGATTAACTATTACGTTTTCTGGCAATCGATGCCCACTGCTTTATGTTTCGTGGATCAAGCCGGAAGCGGCATGATTTTTGTTGCTTTTGCTGTCGCGGTGGCGTCGATGGTGACGGAAATTTTGTTGTTGTTGTTGGTAGTTGTGGTAGTAGTGGTGATAATGGTGGTGGTGGTGGTGGTGGTGGTGGTGGTAACTGTTGTTGCTGTAGAAGTTGTTCCTGTTGGTGGGGTGTACTTGCTTACCATCACACTAGAAGGCTAGGCGTCAGCCAGTCCTCATCCGCTAGCTGGACCGCAACCAAGAACACACTTTACCATTTGAACACACAAACGCTGGTTAAGTCTTGGTCCGAATTTCAAGAAAAATAATAGAAAATATTTCTCGACAAACTTTCTCTCGTCTCACGCTCTTCCCTCTCTCGCACATTTCGCATTCGCGCTCGCATCTCATCTCATCTCATCTCATCTCATCTCGCTCGCTCACGTTCATCCCTCTCGCTCTTTCCTTCCTTCTTTCAATAATAATAATAATTCTAAAAAAAGCCATTTTATTACTTTTACTCCTCTCTCTCACTCTCTCACTCTCTCTACCTCTTTCTCTCTCTCTCTCTCTCACATATCGTTCACATTCCAACATACGAAGATACTGGTCGATCTGAATCTACCTTTACCGTGACTCAACCTCAATTACTTTCAATGTTGTAAAAGTGTGAGCAATCCATTGGAAATATATATATATATATATCGTGTTGCTTTTGTTCTTTTTTATCAGTGTGGTGTAAAAAAACGTTTCTCGGATTATTTTTCAATTGCGACGTTCGATCAATTGACTACACCCCCCCTCGTGGGAATTGATTATTTGAACTATATATCGGATAGATTTCGGAACGATTCCAATGGGAATATTATTAACGACGATACGTAGAGATTTTCGTTCGCTCTCTCGTTCGCTTGCTTTTTTTTTTTTCTTTTTTTTTTTTTTTTGTTTTCTTCCGTTTCTTCCATCCGTACGCAATTTTTCGTACGCAATACGATGATACCCATATTACGGATACGTTCTCCAGCGACATTTTTCTGGTTGAATTCGAGGTTGAGCCAGGTCGTAGATGCAGTTTCCTTGATGCAAAGTGATATTTGAAAGTAAGGATAAGCCAGGCCGTGCGATGATAGTGGTAGCGATCACTGTGCCTGCGAATCGAAATATGTAAATAAAAATAATTCCTTCCAATGATTTCGAGTATCTCTCTCTTTTTTTCTCCTGTTTAATAACGGGCGATTCAATTTGTTGAAAAATATCGTGTATATAATTTATGAATTTTTATTCGTACGTATATGAATTGTTTAATAATTAGGAAATGGAAATAACATCTCAAATATTAATCCTTTGATTTCTTGCATTGTTTCAAAATTGAAAAATAGTATTTCTTATGTTTCATTTCTCTTATTTTTTTTTCTTCTTCTTTTACAATTCGAAAAGATTCAGCGAGATACTCGAGTTTAAGTTAAACGTAAGCCGAATAAGCGTGTTTTTACTTCAGCCTTTCATATTCCAAGAAACATTAACGTGCACGTTAAGCATCAAGCAAAGAAGATGATGGTGAATTCGAGTGCTCATGTGTAATGGATAAATGGATGATGATCCCGTGATATGCATCGAGCAACAGTATATTGAAAGTAATTCATAACAGTAACGATTTTTAATGCAAATATTAATAATAAGCCGAAATGCTGTATATCGAATACTTTGCAGCAATTGATCGATCATTTGAATTATCCGTGTTGTAAAAAAGAAAATAACGTATCAATGGAAGAAAATGCTGATTTTATTTTTATTTTTATTTCTGTTAAGAGTCTGTTCGTTGCTTCCGATTCTTTTACGACTTGTGAAATATATTTCTTGCGTGGAAAAACATGCTTGCAACGAAGAAACTGTTATTAATTAAATATAAATACTTTCAAATTTTATTTAGAGAATTATGAGAAGAATTATATTTAAAAGAAAACTTTTTCGAGTAACGACAAATGATAAAAAAAAAAAAAAAAAAAAGTATTTGCTGCGATGAAAGATTCCGTAAAATTTCATACTGTATGTTTGAACTAGAATCCAAAAATATTTACTGCTGATGAAAGATTCTTATGCAGGATCTTGATAGGGTTTATAAGTCTTTTTCATTAGTATTCCCTCATCTCGAATATGTATCGTTAGGCCCTCTTATCTCTTCAAATACATACTGAAATTAGAGAAAATACGGTATAAATTTCTTATATCTAAAAGTGTTTTAAAATTAATTCCATCCATAATACGATTACTTTCAATAAACTGTTTAATATCGTAACAAAACTGATTGGCTTGCGATAATTCTTGTTGCAGAATACAAAATACGGAATGGAATACGATATTACACGCGAATACGATATATGAGGTTATGATTTAGGTTTATCAATCAATTTTTAACAGCAAGTTTTAACACAAGGTGAAACAGCAATTAATTGATTTACGAATTAAAATTATCATAAGAATCATGCAATTAATCGAATGATATATCTTCGAAATAAAATTTCTCAATTAAGCAATGGCCGACTAAGCAAGGGCTATGGGACAAGTGATTAAAGAAATTTTCAAAGAAAATTCATAAGTAAGTAAATATGTAGCTAGGAGAGGTGCTAGCGTTCGTCACATAACACATGACACGAAATTCCAAATCGGATGAATTATAACGTAGAGAGACACAAAGAGATTTTTTCCATCGCATTCATCGAGACAACAACGGTTAAAACGATCCATATTGGAAAGCCACTCATAACACAAATTTTCGCAGTCAATCGTTCAATCGTCTGAATAATAATCTTGTACAACAGAAGCCAAGACTGGATATTTCACGAAACGTTCTCGTTAATCTGATCCATTCGTTTCGAAATATTACTACGAATTTAAAAAAAAAAGAAACGTATATCATTCTATCGTTATCGCCTCATAATTTATTCTCGAAAATTACGTACGACAGGAAATTTCTAAAAAACTTACATTTATTGTTATCGTCGCAACGAATACACGAAACAAAAATATTTACCATGCTGCTACCATGTTTCAATGCGTAAATATTCGAAAGTGTTTTTCCGGAACGAGTGGATCAAAAATACGATAAAATTGATGCAAGAACGTCTAAAGCAGGGAGTACAAAGTTCTACGTCTCGTACGATACATTACTTGTTAAAAGTTTGCCATCATTTTCCTCCAAAATGTTTTTCTTCCCCTCACACGAATCGAAATTTCCAATTTTACTTTTTCCTCCTTTAATGTCCCAAAAAAGGGATATTTACGATTTCAAACTTTTGCACGAGTAATGTACGAGTATAAATAAAGGATAGAGAAATGGTGACGAAGTCGATGCACGCGCACGGATAGGAAAAATAGAGAGAGAGAGAGAGAGAGAGAGAGAAATAATGGTTACCTGGAACTGTTGCATCGGGTAGGCCATCATTTGTGCCGGAGGTGGTGGTGGTGGGGGTGCGGCTTGCACCCCTGGGGGTGCCGTGACCGTCGTGGCATGGTGTGGCGGTAACTGTGGTCCCCCAGGTAATCCCTGGCCCCAACCTGCCGCCGTGCCAGCAGCGTGGACACCCATTCCCATTCTGCGTTTACAACAAGTTTTTACATAGAAAATTTTTATCACGCCATTAACACGTGAGAAAAGAAAAACAATAATGCGAACGTTACGTTACGTTATTTTTTTCATTGTTATTTCATTGTTGTTAAAATTATTCTTAAATTAAACATCGAACTTTATCATCGAGTTTTGTTATCGTTCCAATCCGTTTGTTATTTTAACGTACGTTGTAACGCGAGATTATTTCGTAGTTATGTAACGTCTATTTTCTGATAATATCGATGAATATCGTGCAAACAAAATTCATCGAACCAGTATTACAAATTTTAAATTAAACGATAGAAACGATTTAATAATTAAAAAGAAGGAGGGGGAAAAAATGGAACGGATCCATTTAAGTTATCGTTGAAGTTCGATCGAAAATATTCGACAATTTGTTCCCCTCCCTCCCCTCCCCTCCCCCTTTTTTTTACGAGAACGTTTAAGGACGTCGTAACGAAGGCGTTTTATTTCCCGCACGGAACGGTTTAAACGGTAAAATCGCACGTTCCAGATTCATGAATATATGTATCGTTACATAAAGGTCTCAAATCTTTTCTACGTACAACGCACGCAACTGAAAACTTTAGGTTATCCAGGATGTGTTACATTACTGGTTTACAATCCTGATAATGCTCGGAAAGCATTCGGATACGGTCTTTAAGGGTGCCATTTCACGGATCGTAAGAGCGTTGAAAGATATTCTCCTTGCCAGAAAGCGCACCCCCTTCGTTTCTGCCGCGTAATCTCTAAAAATTGCTCGATCGGCAAATGCACAAATTCGATTTGATGCCTGTGTTAACGGTGGAAACCGTGTGTACTAACTTCGATCGAGTTAGGTGTCGCGTGAAAATTTCAAAAATATATATATATATATGTGTGTGTGTGTATGTATGTGTATAAAATTGTTACGTTACCGTAACATTTTATTTTATTTTATTTTATTTTTTTTTTTTACATCGATGGAAAAACGGAAATTTTGCAGAGAATCGTTGACCGATATAACGCAATTTTCGTTTATTAAATATTATCAAATAAATTTCAAATTTTTGATATTACATCACGCGCGCATAATACGTAATAATTACAGCGGCGAATGCAAATGATTTCACTTATGACATAAATATACAAATTTAGCGGTTGCTATAGCAAGTTGAGCGTGGGAATGGAAATTCGAATACGTTTGAATTTGGCAAAGGACGTGCAAATTTACCGGTTTGAACCGGTTTGATGTATGCGATTTGAAGTTCGATTAGACACAAGAAATTCAACGATCGATAACAATATCGTTTGAAGAACGGAAGGAAGAGGAGAAGGGAAGAAGGAATTGCTTGTTTTCCAGATAAATAAAATATTTCCTTCGATATTTCGGCGAATCTCTTCCTTTCTTTCTCCCTCTCTATATATTTTCAAATAATATATCTCAGCGTTATCTTATCTTATTCAAATTTCCATCGACTTGTCGGGAAATAAATGTCAGGAGATATTTAAAAATAATATACGTCTGACGTTTCCTTGACTTTGATGCCGTTTAAATCCCATAGGGAGTGTAAAACGATGGGTCTCAACCCCTTCACCCCCCGTACGATGCACACAATTGAGAGCTTTAGTTTATTTCGAACGTGTACCATTCCTGGCTTTACAGTCTTGAGAATACTCCAGACGCATTCGTAGCGCCCACTTTAAGGGGCGTCATTTCATAGATCGTAAAACCGTCCAAAGATATTCTATCCTAGAAATTACCTTGGCCTTTATACCATGTGATCCTTAAAACTCGTGCTCTTTTGTTACTACGCTACACATTCACAGGTTACGATTTAAAGCCGGCCCGCTATTTACCATTTTTACGATATCGTCAAATTTTCAATTAAATTTATTCCCCGCTTTTATCGGCCACCATTTCTCGAAAACTCTTATTTCCGATATCCTAAGTTTCTACTTGTAAAACGTACGGGTATTATTGTTTCTTCCGACTTTTCTCAAT